GCGCCGTCGTCGCACTGTCGTCGCACTGTCGTCGCACCGTCGTCGCATCGTCGTCGCATCGTCGCCGTGCCGTCGTCGCAATGTCGTCGTGTTGTCACCTTGCGGCCGTCAAGACCCCTCCTCTTATACTAGAAACCATACCCCACATGTCTTCAGAGCTTAGATAAGGTATAGGGCTTAGGGATTTAAGGGTTTTAGGGCTTAAGCTGGGCATCCTGATGCTGTTTCTGGTGCCTGCTTTTGAAAGACTGCTGGGAAAACGAATGTGGGTAGTTCTCTAAATTAGGGTCCCTTTTCGGGTCCCCAATATAGTACGGCACCCTTATAAAGAGGACCCCAAAAGGGATCCTAATTTAGAGAACTACTCATGTGTTAGATGAAGTTTCGTTCAGAGCCGCCCAAGACACTGACCTGTTCTCGGTGGCGACATCCTATCTTCCCCCTTGCATGAAAGGCCACAGAGAGGAAAGCCCTCGTCTTCACCGTGAAATGAAGGGTTACAGCGAGGAGAGTCATGTGCTTCGAGTTCGTGCTTGCTTGGTGGAGTACAGCATGGACAAAAACGTACCTGGACGTGCCTTATGTCCCTCCCACATTGAACGACAATACCTTACGTTTGCCTTGAAACAACGGGTTATGGAAGAGCAAGCCAGTGTGGCGCATAAGCGCCTTTCGGTGAAAGACTACAGAGAGTAGGATGGCATGCAGTCGGCCTGCATGATGATTTTCTGGCGTGCAACTACGACGGTCCCCTCAGATTCCTTCTTCTCTCAACCTACTCTTCAAAGAGACATCCAAGAAGAGCGTCCGAAACCCTAAACCCCACTTCAGAATTACTGCCACATTCCCCCACAGCGATTTCCTCAAGCCTAAAAAGACTGAATATCCTCTGGAGCTTCGCGCTCAAGACCACCGATCTGCAAGGTGTGGTCGGTTGGCGACTTAGGGTTTAGGGTTGAGGGTTTAGGGTCCAGGTTCGTATCATGTAGCGGCCTAAATCATTAGAAATGGGTCGTGGGTTATATCTTAAAGAGTCCCTAAACCCTAAACCCTAAACCAAGGAAAAACGAAGGGGCTGAGTATAACTCTAATCCTTCAGGCTTCCATACACCCAGGGCTGAAGCCAGCAGCTTCCAGTTGGTCAATGCGGCCCCTAAACCCCAAACCCGAAGCTCTAAGGGTTTAGGGTTTAGGTTTTAGGGTTTAGGGTTTAGGGTCTAAATCCTTAAACCCCTAAACTGTAAACCCTAAAAGCCTAAAGCCAAAATCCTAAACAAACTCAGACAGAGCACTCCATCTTCAGCTCACCGGCCAGGCACTTGAAAGCCCCTTCCGGGCACTGACTGCACGGCCTGGAGACGAAACAGTCTGAAGCCATGGGAAGGAACATCACCCCCCCCAAAAAAAAATCTAAACCCTGAACCCCAAATCCCTTAAATCCCTAAACCCCTAAACTCCAAACCCTAAACTCTAATTCCTGATGCGAGCTTGCCCTAGGCACTCTTCGAAAGGACATCTTTTTCACACCATGTGGATAGGCATCAACTGGTCTTTCAGATAAAATCAGAGCTCTAAAAAGCCGTCGGCGATGCCGGAGAGCACGACGATGGCCAACCCTTGAAGCTAGCCTTCAGGACCTCCGTGGCGGTGGGGTGGCGGCGGAGAACTTGAGAAGAACGATTGCCAGGGCTCGCACTTTCGAAACTGAAGACATGTCTCGTGCAGTTCGATCAGCCTGTCAGGAATGTGCATGGCATTCCTGATGCGAGCTTGCCCTAGGCACTCTTCGAAAGGACATCTTTTTCGCACCATGTGGATAGGCATCAACTGGTCTTTCAGATAAAATCAGAGCTCTAAAAAGCCGTCGGCGATGCCGGAGAGCACGACGATGGCCAACCCTTGAAGCTAGCCTTCAGGACCTCCGTTTCCGCCCCCCCCTCCGTAAGGACGTCGCAGGTTGAGCACCAGGAGGAGGCACGTGATGAGGTCCATTGGGCGGGCCGGGAGGGAGTTCCCACCTCCATCCGGCGTAACGGGTGGAGGCGGCGGCGCCGGTGAAGCCGCAGCAGTCAGCAAAGGCGGCGGCGGCACGTAGGGGTTCACAAAACCAAGTTGTCCATACAGCCAGTCCACCAAGGCCTCTTCGATCTCTGCCGCCGTAGCGTTGAGCTGAAACCACAGCTCGCGCAGGACATGGCTGGCCACACTCATCACGGCCTTTGCCACCAGCCGCAGGGTGATCGCGATGGCGAGGGCAATGAGGCGGGGGAACATGATCACCACCAAGACGGCCAGGACAGTCTTCCAATTGAACCTTAGCAGGCGGCCCCGCGTAAGCTGTCTCGCCCAGTTCCAAGGGGAGGACCACGATGCCGATGTAGAGGCAGCCACCGCTGATGGAGAATCTGCGCTGACCACTTGAAGGCTCTTCATGGGGCCAGCGCGCCGCTTAGGAGCCGAGCACTCCGGGCTCGCCACTCCTTGTGCCACAGGGCGTGCGGCCGGGCACACCGGGCCCGCCACCACACCCCCATAGCCTTGTAGAGCTTGCACCATCCTGGCAAGCACACTTGTCAACCGCCGGGCAGGCGGCCCCGCTCTCCATCGTGCGGCGGTTTCGCGCGCCGCCGGGTCAGCGATCACCTCCGCCGGCGACAGGTTGTCACTGACAGGTTCAGGGCCCAGGCGCGTAGCTGCCTTGCTAACCGCTTCCAGGAGCTCGTTGGCCGGCACGGCCGCATCAATCAGATCTTCTGTTCCGGCATGGGTCTGTGCGGCCACGCCTTTTCCCAAACCGACAGAGCTTCGTTGCGGTCGGCCACCCGGCGCAACTTCACGCGAGAGCCGGAGAGTCGCTCGTTTGGGAGCCGTTTCTCGATGCTCCTCCATGTCTGAGGCGAGGGTCCTTCCACAAACCCCACAAAGGAGGGATCGTGGGGGTTGCTCACGATGATGTAGGCTCGTCTCTCCGTGTGGTACGCTATGGTTGAGCTTCGTGGCACTTCTGAGGAAGAGTAGGTAGGCCCCGGACTCGAAGCTGAAGCTTTGGGGTCTTCACCCTTGCTGCCCTGGCCACTCCGACCACTCACCACCGACCAAGTTCCCCTAGTGCTGCCACCTGGAGAGGAGGGGAGTTGTTCCCTCGGCTCTGCGGCACCTCCTTGAGCGCGCTCAATGCCCAGCTGTTCTAAAGAGTCAGCTAGATCCCTGAGGGCACGAGAGATGCGCCCTTCCATCACCGCAGCTGGTCCCCGGCTAAGAGCTCTTGAAGGTCAATAGGCGGAGGCGAGTGCAGGTAATCCGCATGCTCGTTCAGACTTTGCAAAATATTTCGTGAACCCTGAGGCGCCTGCGACATCACCTGGATGGAGAGGGCCGTTTGCAAATAATGCCTCAAAGTCTCAGCTCTCGCCCACCGGCCAGCATACTGGAGCTGGCCCACATTCTGGTGCACCCTGAAATGATGTGTAGCTCCCCCGCCTCGTAAAGAACCCAGCGTGAAGCCACAGACCCCGAGCTGCATCTCCTCCAAGGCAAGCTTGAACAACACAGCCCACCTTCTTCGGCCCACTCGCAAGACACGGTGGTGCCTAGGGCGATCTTTGCACCACCACTGCAACCACCTTATAAGATCTTTCTCCTCGGCAAGAGCGAACTGATGATGCCAAACTCGCCGTGTTTTAGGGTTCCTTATATTCACGACTAGGGCAGCTCCTTGCTTGACCTCATCATCGACAGGGAAGAGCAGATCGTTGATCCTCAAAGCATCCACTTCACCCGGCCGTAGCAAAGCACAGAAACCCAGCCAAATGCCTATAAAGGTAGACCACCACTCAGCTCGCAAATGACCTTGAAACTGTAGACCTCGAGTCAAGCAAAAGACAAGGAGCCCTCGTAGCACATGATATGGTAGTGGCACTCGAGGCTTGATAGGTTCCAGGCGTCGACATCTTCGGAGTAGAGTCCATGAGTTCTTCAGGAGGGGCCCTGCAATTCGCAAAGTTCTTTGAATCCCCAGCACACCCAGCACTACCCAGTATCGCTTCTCCCCCGAGTCATAGGCGTGGCAGATAGCCTTCTCCAACAGCCGGTCCACATAGGCTGGTGACGATCGCTCGGTGAAGGAACCCCCCAGTCTGTGCACCAATTGAAGAAGGTACTGCCCGGCCTCCCGAAGGTTACGACGGTAATCAGAAGATAGAGCCGCCTGGCTCAGTCGATGATGCCCTCCCTTCCCACGTCGCATGGGCTGCCGCAACTTTACGACAGAACTCTCTGGGGAAGGGCCTGGCCCTCATCTTCCATCCAGGCGCCCCCGAAACATGGACATGATGTCTGGGGCACCGACGCACAACAGAGCCAAGCCACGGGGCATTCGACAACAAGGTGCTCGCATGCTGGGCCACACCGTCGCTCTTGGAAGTATCATGCGCCCCGGCTGTGTAAGCACAACTGTCCCACCGATAGAATTTTGCTCCCTCATGTCGCAAGAACAGCTCGGTGCTCCGTAGCCTCCAAGCTCTGCTGCACCGAGGGTGCTCAATCACGAAGTAACCTCCATGCTTGAGGAGTTTCGCGGCAAGTTCCAGAGAGCGGGCCCAACATGCGTAGTGGTATTCATGCTTAGGGTCCGGCGCAAAAAGATCATGATCTGCTTCGCCACCCCGCCTGTCGGTAAACACGACCGCTCCAGGACTAAACCAAACCCAGTCAACAACTCCTTCGGTGATCATTCGGTCCACCTCGGGGTCGAAAACGCCGAGTTGCGACGAGCCCTCGGCCGGGGTGAGCATTTCCCAGCCCTGCTCGAGGTAGGCGGCAGTGACACCCGTCTGTTCGGCAAAAAGCTCCCAGCCTATAGGTGCCTTGGCCAGTCCGAGCCCAAACCTCTGCATCCACGAAGTAGGAGGGCTAGGTGCTGGCAGAAGCCGAAAACGAGAGGGCCAATCAGCTAAGTTCGCCGAGGTTTCCACCCAAAGGAGCGCTAGGTGGACCCGCCCGAAAGCCAGGAACGGCAGCTGCGATCTGAGTATTCCATTTAACCGAAACGAGCTCGACCTGCCCTTGCAAACCGCTCCTACAACCACCATGGAGTCGTTCAGCGCTATCTGGATGAGGTCCATGTTCTCTGGGTCCCCGGCCAAACGCACAACTTCTCGCTTCAAAGCGCGGGCCTCTTGCAGGTTGATGTGATGTGTTTTTCGAAACGAATAAGAACCCACCACCTGCCACCGGAGGCAAGGCGCAATGCTAGCAGCGAACTTTGAAGCCTCGAGGGGAGGAGCCTTGAGCAGATGATCACACTCGGGGTCGAGTCTCACCGCGGCTCCCTTTATCTCAGATCTTCTCCATAATTCCGAGGCCAAGGCCGGGGCCACAAAGGCCCGAACCGCACCACCTGATGTCGGTGTTGCGTCGGTGGCTAGCACTGAAGGCGAGATCCGTGATCTCATGCACCAAGTCGCCAGCGGTAGGTGAAGGGCCACCGACCGCAGCTCATCCGCGATGTGCCCTGGCAGCCGCACGATCTTCTTAGGCTCCAACTTTGCAACGAAGACATAGAAGTGATGCAAAAGGCAAAGAACTCCCGCCTGAACTGAAAGACAAAGGCAACGAACCCACCGAGCTTCTCGAGGGCCTCCCGGGAGGCGCGACCTGAAGCAACGAGCTGTAAAATCAGCCACCACAGCTGCCGCCTCACATCCATTGGGGCTCCAACTGTGCCCTTGATGCCGTCGATAGCAGCACCCCAAGCTTTGAAGTGCACCTGTGCTCGGAACGATTTCTGCAAAGCCCTAGGCAACTTCGCCTCCACATACGCAGCCTCGGCCTTCTTTGCTTGCAACATGTCGGGGTCCTGGTCCTGCGGCAGAGGAGGCACGAAGCTACCGTCAAGGGGGATTTCCGAGGGCATGGCAACCTTGAGGGTGATGAGCAAGTCGTCCAGGTAGATGCCTTCCCAAAGCGGGTCAGTAGGAACCGGGTCACCGTACACAAGCTTGTGCTCAGCCTTTAGCAAGCCGTGCCGCTTCAAGATGCTTTCGTGAGTTGCCTGCGCAATGGAACAGGCATTCTTGTCGCCCATGCCCAGCACTCGAAAACACAACCGATAGTCCTGAGCAGGATCGCCCCCGAACTCCCGGACCACAGCCTTGTCAACACGCCGACCAACAGGATTGTAACGCACCCAGCCCGACGGCAACTTAAGCATGTAGTAGAAATTCTTCAGGTCATCCCCCGAACCCCGCAAAAACTCGTTGGGCTCAAGCAGCAATCTGACGAAACAGGCTCCTGAGGGCAGGGCCTCCCACCCTAGGTGGGGCATCGTACTGTTCTCGGGCCTTCGGTCATAGATCAAGCGATCGTGTTGTTCATCTTTGCCTACACAAAACAGCCCTCCACATAGAAGCTTCCCGTCTGATGTCCGTGGCAAGTCCTGCTCACACACAAGCTGAGCCATGCCTGTGCTGAGGAGCTTTCTTGCCAAGTTCGCCTCGTGCTCCTGGGGGACGCGATGGCACGCTACCACGACCTCACCCCAAGCAGCCTCCGGCAAACGCAAATCCTCCAAATGCTCCACCACCGCCGCTTGGCCAGGAGGTAGCCAGTCCAGCGGGTCCACCACGCCGGCCGTCTCTGGCACGGCCACCCGATCGGCGGCCACAGGTAGAGCGCCAGCAGGGGCAGGAACCTGACCCACCCCGTAGCTTGCAAAGTTGAGTCTCAGCATCTCCTCCAAGACAGACCTTTTGCCTGAACAAGCAAGAGAACCAAACACTAGCTCAACCGTCGCGAATTCAACCACCTCGCCGAGCAACTTCGCAGAGAACTGCTGCACATCCACTCTGTGAAAAACTCGCGGCTCCAAAACTGCACTCTCCATCCCCGGGCAGCCAAGCACCACAAAGTTGCCCCAGGCCACAAACGTGTTTACGAAAGCCTTGGACCACCACTGCAGGGCCTGGTCATCGCCTTGCACCTCCTCGACAAAAGAGGCCTCCGGGAAGGGGAGCACAGCCGGGAAAAGTGGTACGTCGTTGCCGGCCCGAACCGGCAGTGTACCTTGGACGCCTGTAAACCACGTATAGTAAGAAATGAACTTCGAATTTCCCCCCAACAAAATCGGATGCTTACAGCAGCGTTTTGATGAGGCCTGGGCATGCAAAGTTGAGGGTCTCATTTTCGGGTCGATGACGACGGCTCCTCGCCCTCGTCCTCGGCGGTCGTGGCAGCATTCGCTTCCTTGACCTTCTTCTTGAGGCTCGCCAACGCTTCCACGTAACCTGAGATCACCGACATCTCTTCCCGAGTGCCGGCAAAATCGCGTTTCTGCATCGGATCCACAAGTCCCGTGAGCAGCCACGCCGATGCCCAGTCGCCGCCCTGCAAAACGCTTTGAAGTTTTGCTTTCATGTTTTGCACCAGCTGCGCCGCCGCAATCTCGTGGTTGCCCGCCCTCAGCTGCTCGTACGCCGCTACGTCCATCATCGCGCAACGATATATCCCCTTGAACTTGCCCCAGGGCTGCTTGCGCATGTAGTCCTTCAAGGTCCAGCTCTGCCCTGGCACAATGCCCAGCTCCTCGCGAATCTCCTTCTCGTAGGTCAGGTAGATCTTGCGAGGATTCTTTTGAATACGATCGTGCAGCCGATGAAGGGTGCTCACAGCGCAAAGGCCTCGAGAGGAGAGCTTTCGGTCGTCGTCCGACTCGTCGGAGGAGGAACCACCAAGGAGGCTGCTTGCCTCGTTCTTCTCGGCTCGGCTGCGGCGGCTCCGCTTCTTGTCCTCCCCAAGCATAGCCATCATCGCCAGGGGCAGGAGCTCCGTGGCGCTCTGGCCACCGGCAAGGACCTTCGCAATCTCCCGCTTCAAGTCGGGCTCCGGATCCTTGGTCGCCTTTTGGGACTTGCTCTTCTTGGCCGCTGCGCCCGGCCGAAGGAACTCTTCCTCGGCGAGGTCTTCGTCCTCGTCCTCGGTCTCCTCCTCGTCCTCGTCGTCCTCGGCCGCGCCGCCCCGGCGCTTCTGAAAAAGCTGCTTCAAAGATCCAAGCTCCTCCTCGATGCGGGTCTTGCTTCGAGTTGGCTTCTGAGCTCGCGGGCCCTCGGCACCGCTGCTGCTCAGGTCCTTGTCGGCTACTTGTCCCCATGCCTTGTGGCTATTGCTCCAGGTAGGCAGGTCTTTGCACAACAGGCCCTTCCACTCAGCAGGCTTCGATCCTAACAATGCGTCCCGCTTGACTTTGATAAACCCTAGCTCCTCTCCACCGGCTTTGCCACTCGTCTTGCTAGCAATTCCCGACAGAGAGGCCAGAGCAGTCCCAATGCAAGCTTCGCTTTCAGTCAGGTGCACAACCCAGCCTGTCACATGTAAAAGGCCATTGCTTCCATGGCACACCACGTGTGCCACCTCACCTACCTCCATCTTGAAACCCTTTAGAACTTGAGAAGAACGATTGCCAGGGCTCGCACTTTCGAAACTGAAGACATGTCTCGTGCAGTTCGATCAGCCTGTCAGGAATGTGCATGGCAACCTAAACCCCTAAATCCCTAAACCCCCAAACTCTAGACCTGAAGCCCTAAACCCCTAAACCCCTGGAAATAAACTTGAAAGCCACTTGGAAGAGGGAGGCTTCTACGATGAAAGTTGCTGTTCTCCGTGCCTGTAGAGCTGTTGCAAAATCCAGGGTTTTAGAGTTGTTTAGGGGTTTGAGGTTTAGAGTTTTTAGGGTTCTTTAGGGGTTTGGGGTTCAGGGTTTGGGGTTGTTTAGGGGTTTGGGGGTTTGTGGTTTAGGGGTTTAGGTTTTGTGTGTTGTTTTTTCTTTTTTTGTCGGGGGTAGTTTGGGGTTTAGGGTTTGTGGGTTAAGGCTACGTTGGAGAGGGACCTAACAGTGGTATCTGTGTCGCTGCGACGCCGTCATTCTGGGCGATGAGACGCCGCGCAGCTGTGGGGTTTTCAGGGTTCTGAGTTTAGGGTTTTAGGGTGGTTTAGGGTTTAGGGCTTAGGAGGGCTGGAGCATGAGAGATTGAACAGCAAAGCAAAGATCACAACGGCCTCCCTCCTTGCGAGAACACTGCCATTCGACACGGCAGGCCTGCGCGTCACGTTCAGAACCTGCGTGTCCCCCGGCTTGCATGCCTGGCAAGTCTTAGGCGCTCTTGGGTCTTGGCATCTAGAGGGGAAGTTCGTGGTGTGGTTCGGTTGTCTCTGTCGAGCACCTCCCGGATGATCCTTCTCCATGTGCAAGACCCTACCGGTCACTACCGATTCCTGGCCACTAACCTTGGTAGTCAAAGCAACAGGCAAAACTAGGTTGCCCGAATCACAAGCTATGCCAGAAGAGTTCACTTGCAAGTTCGGCACACCCACGAAACGGTAGCTAGCTCCAAGGCCCGGAACATCGCGCCCTGCACCTCGGGCGAATGCAGGCCAGCGGTACCAGGCAGCCGAAATCGTGCAGCGCTTGGAAGTCCACCGCACCCGTGCCCAAAGGGCAAAGGAAACCAGCACTTCGGGTGGCGGTGGCATTGGCATAGAATGTGCCTTAATGAGAAAGGTTCTCGTCTCAACTCGGAGTTGTCAAAGCTCGCAATGCAGTCCAGCTGCAAGAGGAGGTACTTGTACAATTCATCAGCTCTTCCTTGCACTAAAACAAAGAATGAGGAGCTTTGGGCCGCCCTCATGATCCCTCGATTGCATGACATCTGCCTCCGAGCTTCGAGAGAGAGATTACGTGCTGAGATGTAGATGCCGGAGCTCTCGGAGCTCTCCGTACGCAGGTGAGCGGAGCCAATCTTCAACAGGCCTGCCACGGCAGGATGCTAGCAACTCGTGAACGAACAAGCGTCCTCTGGCTTTTGGTGCAGAAGAAACCCGGTGGAGCTTAGGAAGTTTAGGGATCAGAGTCAGCACAGGCTTCGAAAGCACAACGCATCCGGCAGCAGACTTCACGAGCAAGAGAGCTAACGGTAATCATGCGGTGCGCAATCCCGGGCGTTTGGAACCCCCCTTTGTTCCTGCTGTTCGCGTCCAGGTGTAGGGGCTTGCTGCCGCAAGTAGCGGCCAGCAAGCTCCGAAAGCGCTGACACAACCCACAGCATCACGAAACGGCTCATGCGAGCGCAGCTCAGAACATTGCGACACTTGCGAGAAAACCGGCAACGGGAGTGGATGTACGCTGGGTAACCAACCTTCCTGCCTGCCTCACGATTTCCGACTGAGTGTCCAAAGTATCTGGGTCGGGCCATGTCGGCCCCAGCACCACTCCCCAAAACGAGACCAGACAACAACGCAAGCAAACCACAAGATACCCAGGGTTCAGGGTTTAGGGTTGAGGGTTTAGGGAGCAAAAGCCACAACGCTAGACCACACTCGGCCCTGTCGAAAAGCTGGTTCGGCCTGAGACTGCGAAGTCGTTGACATCCCCTTTGCTCTCCCGCAACAATGAGAGCTCCTGAAGCCAACTCCAAGGTTTAGGGTTTAGGGTTCAGGGGTTTAGGTGTTAGGTGTTTAGGGTTTAAGGGTTGTGATTTAGGGTTTAGGGTTCGGGGTTTAGGGCTGAAGGCATAAGGTCTCGCGCGCCACTAGAGGTGCTGTATAACAGGAGCCGTCCATCCAAAGTGACTCTGTCCCGTCTGCAGTGTTGGTTTTGTCGGTTGCCAGCGACTTCGCCGAATCTTTGCTGCTGAACCCTAAACCCTAAACACAGGCTGGCTAAAGTATGCGGAAACATGTCGCAGGCGAATCCCGGTCCTTGATTTCCACTTCCGCTTCTGTGCCATCGGCAGCAACTGCAGCGAAGGCGGCTGCAGACACGTCAGCGTCGCAGGCATGCAGAAGCAGCTTTGCAAATTGTCCTGAAAGATCCATGTTGAGTGAGTGGGCTTCAGCCACCATGCAGAACGTTTCAGGCATGCCAGCGCGAAGCGGTTGGATGGATTCGCTGCTGTTCTTGTGTTTGGCTTCTCTGCTTCTTTGTGAGGCTTTCCATCGCCCCTAGGCTTTGAATCCACTGGCTCAGGCCCAGCAGAAGAGTCTCTCGAAAGGCTTGCCTACACGCAGCGTCTCCAATGCAGTAATAATACTGCTGATAACGAGAATAGAGTTTGGGGCAATGGTTGAATGCAATTATCGCCATAAGAAAGCCTTGAGGAAAATTTTTTGCGATTCATCAGGCTTCTATACTACACCGAGTCCTAAGCCAGAAATCCCGACAGCAAGCCTCTACGTCAAAGACGTACCCCTAAACCAAGCCCAACGCACTACGACCCGATGGCTTTGAGGTTTGGCGCTGGCGACTTGAAAAGGAGCCGCCAGGGGGTACTTGCTCTCCGACTCTCTGATCCTCTCGCGGTTTGGTCTGAGAAACGCCTTGGTGGCATAGAATCGAGGGCTTAGGGCTTAGGAGCACAAGTCCCGCCCATCTACTCGCGGCGTGAATGTCAGACGGGTAAGGTGTGCAGGACGTTGCATGTCAGACAAATGGACTCAGCCAAATCAGCTCGTAAAATGGCATGGGATGACAGCGAACACGTAGTCTTCAAGCCTGGCCAACAACCATCCACCCCTGCCATCCTTGGGCTTCTTTCAAGTAAAGCCCGCCGCCGATGCTGCTGGCATGGCAGGCCTTGAAAGCTCCGTTTCTCTCGGCTCCCGGGCTTCCATGGACTCGAAGAATTTCGAGTCCGATTCCCTCCTTTATCTAAGGGTCACGGTTTGCTTCGGGCAAAGGCCAAAACATCCGAAACGACCCCAAAGATCCCAAAAGGTTTAGGGTTTGGGGTTTACTAAACCATAAACAGGGTTTAGGGTTTGGGGTTTAGGGTTTAGGGTTTGCCATAAACCTAAAACTAAACCCTTCTAAACCCTCCCCGAAACCCGCCAGCACCCAAGCACCCGGCCTCGAATGCAAGCGAACCGCCGTGATGCACCGTGCCGGCTTGGGTGATCCTGAGGCCGCCACCTGTGCCCAGCAATAGCAAGCTTCGCAGACGTCAGGACAACGATACTGATCGTAATACCGACCGACAATACGTATGAGAGCAGCAGTACTTATGGAACTTAGAGTACTACTTAATACTTAGAACCTGAAACCCCAATCCCTAATTCTGAAAACCCTAATACTTATAGTGCCTACCCCAACCCAACAGGTACCTACTATATAGGGTACTAGAGCCCCTAGGCCCCTATATGGTAGGCACGTGGAGGGTTAGGGTTACATATAGTAAACGGATGCCGCTTGGTAGTCGTACAAGATGCCCGCTGCTTAGGTTGGCAGGTTCAAGGCCCTTTTCATGGAGGGGCTTTGAGATCCTTGTATGCGAAAGGGTTTAGGGTTTCGGGTTCAGGGCTTGAGGGTTTAGGGGTTTAGGGTTTATGGGTTCAAGGTTAGTTGAGGGCTGTTCAGGATTTGTTTGATGGTGCTGCTACGAGTGCGACACTCCTATGCCAGGATGAGCCACTAGGTCGGAGCCTGTCAGCAGGAGTTGAAAGAGTTCAGGTTTAGTGTGCAAGCTTTTCTATAGAACACAGAATTGGCCACGGGGTTGCAGTTGTTCACGGCCCGTGCTGCGGAGCTCGGTGATGTGCACGTGTGGCAGTCTAGCCGCTACCAGTAGGACTTAGGATGGTCCATCACGCCAGCATGATTTGCCCAATGCAGTTCCCAAGGAGCCTAGGCCTGGGAAGTCCCTGGCCTGCGTGTGCCCGGCATGCTTTGAAGTGCATTGAGCCGTTGCCGTCGAGGTGTTCGGTGATAACACCGCCTCCGTCCCCTCAGCATCAGCGAGCGTGGGAGATACAACGCTGCAGGGGAAGCGGGCTTCCATGAGTGCGCTGATTTTGGTTAAGTTCTTGGGCTCTATCTACACTGCCTCCACTCTGTGCAGGTACGATCGTCTATGCACTCGAACTACATGCATCTTCAACCAGCGCGTTCGGATCCACCACATCAACTCATCTATGTTCACGACTGCCAAGGCGCTATCTGCCGAGCAGTGCTCGAAGAGCACCGAACTCCCCGCTTCCTGCTGGTAGCTGCCTGACGCATGGAGGCCGCCTCCTGGGGAATACACTGAGAGGCGAGTGGGGTGGCTGCAGGGGCCGCTGTTTTGGAAACCCTGTAGTCTGGGAGACTGCAAGCCGGATATGCCCTCTCCCCGAGACCATGAGTTTTTCTACACGTTTCAGTGTAGGGACTGTCCCGGTTCGAAATTAGGCCTCCATAGCGCGAGTTTTGCCCGCACCCAACAGGGCGCATGTCGGAAGGCTCCCCGCAGGCTCCCACTGCTGCCCAGGCTCCGTCCAGTCCCGCCCTGCAGCTGCGGAAGATAGCAGAGCTATTGGGGCGCTGTGTGAAATTCTCCACGGATGCACCGCCGCCGCCCCAACCTGGGACACAGAGATTCCTAAACCCTAAAACCTAAACCTTGTTTCTCTGGCACGGCCGGCCCCCTATATAGACGCACAGAGGTCCTCAGCTATAAAACTGCTCCCGCAGTCTGTTCCGACACCCAAAAACCAAGGCACCGATGGACGTTCGAAGACCAGCCCCAAACTTCGCTTCAACATGGAGCCCAGGCAGTTTCGGAATTTAGGGTTTAGGGTTTCGGAAAGAGACCAGATTTACCATCGCGAGGACACCCCAATACTGCGAAGCTCATCTTATCCTCCACTGCCAAGGCGCTCTGATGGGTCTCTGCCGAACAGTTCTCGAAGAGCACCGAACTCCCGGTTTCCTGTTGGTAGTTCGAGGCATCGAGGCCCCCTCCTGATACAAGGAGAGAACGCTCTGCAAACAAACCCTAAACTGTCTGGGATCCGAGTGCACTAAGGCCACAACTCCAAAATCCCTACAGA